CCTGAAATTCCAAACAGAAGAGCATTCAAACATACATCCAGTGATTATACCAATCTAGAAAAAAACAATTATGGTATAAACGATAAACCAAATTGACTGAAAAAGAATAAGCCAATAATTTTTCCTTCAGTTGGTAACAAAAGGATTTCATACTGATATATGCTTTACAGTAATGTAACCGATCTACAATAGGTTTTATGTAATTATTGAATATAAAACAAATTTATTTAAATATATTTATTGTTCCAAATACAGCATCCAATATTATAACTGTTAGAAATTATGATATTTAATGAAAAATTTTCTTCTCTTGAAAACTCACACCACTGGCCACAGCAGTACTTCACTTGAATCCTGGGTTCTGCTTGGAAGATTTGTTTTTGTGCATCAGAATCTATTACATTCCCTAAAGTATAGTAAATAAATATCTGTATATTTTTTATGTAACTGAGTATATTTATTAGCACGTACACATACACACATGTCTGATTGAAAAAAAAAGGATAAACAATAAATATACATTGCTAGAAATGGCAGTCATGTCAACTACACAATGCAGAGCAGATTCATTAATGCTTTTGCAACATATTAAATTCATATAAATTATTAAGTCATCTTAGTTGTTTGGGGTTTTTAACTGTTCAAATGGAGTTAGGATTTTCTTATTTTAAAAATAATTTAAATTTTTTGGGGAAATTATATTCATGATCTCAGAGATTTTAACACAGTTTGATTTGCTAGATTTTTTGGCGGGTGGGTCCCATCAGCACTGAATTGGGTCCCATCAGCACTGAATTTTCACTTGCTTGTCCAATGAGTGTTTTACACTCTAATTAAGTTCAAAAAGTATCAGGGAGGTGAACAAGACCTGTTTTCAAAGTAACAGGGGTTTTTATCATACAGGGATAAAGTGACAGTCAAAAATAGGCATAAGCACAATAAAAATAGGTAATGTTCACTTGTATTTCTTTCTTGCTTGTTTCAAACTGTTCTGAAAGATTTAATTTCAGAACAGGAAAAGATTCTCTTTGGACTAAATGAATCCCTTTTGGCATTTGAATTCAGCAGCTTAAGCACTTCCTATAATTAAGTCCAAAGAAATACTTATTTTAGGCTTAAATAAATCCCCTTGGAGCTGTCAATGAATGCTAACTTCTCTGGGCTCCAGAGAGATGTAGGGGTCCAGGGATTTCTCTTAAGTGCCTCATTACCCATTAGCTTGCAAAACACATTTATTTTCAATACCTGTAATATGATATTGAGTTTTAAGAGAGTAAAAAAAAAAATCTAGAATCCAGCAGGAATGTCCCCTTATGAAATTTAATATGGAACTAACTTCAATCCCAGTTTTCTTTCCTGACACAGTGTAAGCTAACATGAAACACCATACAGGAAGCTTTCTTCTTTCTGCTTTTTAGGCGCCCCATCCCCACCCCCACTTTTGAAAACAATGTACAAAAAGGGACTCTTCTGCTGCCTGCAAGAGGTGTCTAATTACTAGCTGGAAACTCCATTCATTGCCCAGGTGTTAGAAAACACAGCCCTCTAATAGCAGGYCAGTGCACTCTGGTGAACTGGCCCTGCAGGGGATTGGACTGCTCAAGGCCAAGCCTAGGGTAACCTGCTCACAACCATATGGAGGGTTCTACAGTTCTGTCTATAAAAATCCTCCCTCAATTCCTGCTCCTCCTCCACTATCCCCACAGATGTTTAAGAAAAAAAGTCATTGCAGGAAGAAGCAGACACCTACAAACACCTGCACAGTAATTCTTTTAGGCATAGAAGGGCATTGTTGGCTCTCCCCTACAAGAGTAAAATAAAGTATGCATGCATGAGCAGTTATCAAGCATTAATATAGAAAAAAAAATAGAAGTAAAAAAAAATAAAAACCAAAAACCCAGTCACATATAGAATTATAAAAAGAAATTTAAAATTGACTTCAWGAAATTAAAAAGAAGCTGTTTGAGGCCAAGCTGCAAGTCACTGACTATATTCTCACTTCCAAAGATCAAATCTAATTCCCCTCCCCTCCCCTCTTCTCCCCTCTCTTTGGGTCTGGAGGCTGATGGGATAAACAGGCACACTGCCTTATTCACTGAAGAGTTGAAGCATCTGTGCACAATAGCCATATAAATCCTCATGTTTGWCTTCCTGAGATTTCAATTTAATTTTATAGCAGTTGTTAGAGCATTAGCAGAGACAAACACGTGCCTCTCWTACAACTGCCCAGAGCTTCAATCTTGCAAGAGTTCAATTTTAGCTAGTTTTAAGCAGTCTAGTACTCAAATTCCACAATGCAAATTCCAAGGGGCCTATCCCTGTTGGTGCAAAATACACTGGGTGTAACTGTAATTGAGTTGTAGGTCAGATCAAGAATTCACTTTTGAAACCAAATCTCCTGATCATTGTGGAGCCATTCTCCYCACAATGTAGTGTGAAAGAGCGAGCTCTAAATGGATTTGTAAAACGCAAAGTAAAATGCACGATGTGTGCAAGGACCAAACTTCATTTCTCAAAACTGGTAATGGATCTTCAGCCAAGGGACCACCCTAGATTTTGTGAAATCTCCTAAAAAGCATGTAGAGTTGACAYACCAGGCCCTCAACACCAGATGGGTCCTGTAGCATGAGTTGAGCCACAGTACTTAATGATGCTGACATGATGTGGAAGCATCTCCTGAGCAACAGATATTTGTCAGACCAACAATCTCTAGACAGCCTTCCTTCCTCTTGTCTGCCTCTAAAGTGATAGATAGATAGATAGATAGATAGATAGATAGATAGATAGATAGATAGATAGATAGATAGATAGATAGATAGACCGACCGATAGTTTTTCTGGACCAATTGTTTATGAGCCACTCAAAGAATCACAGAATCAATGAGGTTGGAAGAGATCTCTGACATCACTGAGTCCAACGTTTGACTGAAAAACACCATGTTAACTAGATGGCAGCGTTAAATGCCTCATCCAGACTTTTATTAAATACCTCCGGGATGGTGACTCCTCCACCTCCTGGGCAGCCCATTTCAATGCTTGACAATCCTTTCTATCAAAAACTATTCCTTTAGTTTTTCACTTAGTTTAGTGTCCAGTCTGAACCTCTCCTAGTGCAGATTAAAGCTATGTCCTCTTGTGCTGTCACTGGYCGTCTGGGAGAAGAAACCAACTCCTGGTGGGCTGCAGACTCCTTTTAGGCAGCTGTAGGGAGTGATTAGTAATTAGTAATTACAACCTAATTATRTTGGCCTCAGACCGTCAAATCAGCCTGTCCAGATCCCTCTGCAGAGCCTTTCTGCATTCCAGCAGATCCAGATTCTCACACAGCTTGGTGTTGTCTGTCTTGATGACAATTTCTACCCCTGTCCAATAATGATGGAGATAAAGATTTCAGAAAGTATTAATAAGGAATCATAAAGTATCATAAAGCAACTCCTCWTGCATATGTGAGTATGCAAGAGTGTTTGTAAACTCACAAATAACTGGTAGAAAAACAGTGTAGATTCTGTATGTTGGAGTAAACGCAGAACATGTGCTTGTGGTGTAAGATGCATATACTTAAATCTATATGGGCACCCCTACAGAATAGGATTCTGCAGGAATCACAAAAAARTGATTCATGTGATTGCGCTGAAATACTTACCTTAGGGTAAGGCTCATCGGCTGATATGTGCCTGAATATATATCTACACACACATACATTTTCACATATGTAAAATCACATCATGCATTATACACATATGAAGTTAAATGAATAGTGTATTTGTTGGGATGAATAATAAACACAATGCTAGTCACATGTATAGCTGAAGATAAGCCTGATATTTACACTTGTGTTAAGAGTGTTAAGTGAGTCAAAATACATGGTGTCTTTTCTTTCTTTTGTAACCTGGACTAAAGACCRGTTACTCCAGTCAACCAACTGCACAGCTATTTTTGCCTGGTGCTTTTCTAAGTCTGACTCCTAGCAAAGATCAGATATGTCTGACTGAATGGCAGCAGCATGAGCTGTATTTGTTGTATTTGTTGTGGCCCTGTGCCACATTAATGTCGCTCAGTGGTATCCAGAATAAACGGGCTCTGTCCTGACATTTCAAAMACTGCCTCAAGAAGCAGGATCCCATCTTCATCTACCCATACAGAAATTCCCCGTGTTTTTATTTTCTGACAGGGCTCTAAGTACTTTGGGAAGTGCTGTCACCCTGAGGTCTTATAGTACCACCCTGGGTTAAGAGCTCAGAAAATAATATGCATAAAAATACTAATACAGGAAAGGTGTGTCCTTCTCTTACAATTGTTTACATTAATTGGAAGTGCCTCTAATCTAAACAACAGGTTTTTATTAAATCTAGACTGAGTGACTGAAGGAAACAAAGAACTGGTCCTGCTTTTCAGAGTACACACCTGCAAARATGAACTAATTTCTGTTGCTGCACTTGGGTCTCGAGTTTATTAGGTGAAATTCTTGTCTTTCAATTTTTCTATACACCCTGTTCTTGAAGTATCACAACTGCCTCAGAAGTATCCATTCTTTTAATTTCCATTTCTATCTAACAATTTTTGCAGCTTGTTCCAGGCTTTCTTCTTGTTAATAAATATTTTCAAAGATATTACAGATAGCCTTCTCATGAGAATTTGATACATACTTTGAAAATTCCTATATTCAGATTTTTTTCTGATCTTTTTACAAATACTAATTCTGAATACAAAAGTTTTTCACAAGGYCAATTATAAAAATGCTATATTTTTACCATAGATAAAGATAGATAGAGACCATAAAGTATTCTACTTACAAGAAAATATTAGTTAATAAACTCAAATGTTTTTCTTATTTTCCCAGTAACTGAAGTCCCCAATTCAATTTGCTGATATGACTTGTTTTCTTTTCACCAACTTTCCCAGGCCTCTACTTCCTCTGCGATGAGAAGCCTTTCCAACTGCATTATCTCCAAACTCCCTTGTTGACAGAGAATTATTCTTTCAGTTCCTTTGGAAGGACAATATCCTTTTGAACCATCTGCTGAGGAGACATGCTATTATAATTTTCATTCCTTTTTCTTCCTCTTTCCTCCCTCAAGGAATAAAATGTGTGTACCTCAATCAAAAACTGAATGAATAGCTACTTCTCTCAGATCTTCGTCTGTGTTCTTTACATTTTACCAGTTCCAGAAGAGGAAACTGAATGGAACATTCTGCATCAACAAAGATAAATAATTTATGCCTGAAACATCAAGTGATCTTCTGCAGAGCTCTGCTTATAATCTCTCTCTCTTACATTTTATCAAGAGGAAAGGTAAAAAAAATCAGGATGAACAGTAGGGAGTCTAAGACATTTTTCTATAAGGTATGTTCAGGTTAGAAGATTTTAAAAGCATATGTAGAAATCTGTAAGCCTGAAAGCTTGCCTSAAAATAATCTTTCCAGTGTATTTTTGAGCTGTGCAGCAATCCTATGTAAAAATTACAGCATCAGATCACTGCTTGTTCTACTTACTATCATGGGCAAATCTGTTTAGTCTCTTTGTCAAGTTATTCATACTTTTGGATTCAATGCTTTCCTGTGGCTCTGAGCTCCATTATTTTGTTGTTTGTTTGTTTGTTTAATTTGATGCATTACTGACTCTCACTAGATTCTTATAACAGTCATAAGAAAATAACAATTCTTTTACTKTAGAAATCACTGTCTAATTTTATTCCAGCATGATCATGTATATCTATTTTTAACAGTATTTGAGTAATAGAGACCATAAAATATGTGTTGAATATGTCTATTCTTTATCACCTTACCTTTATTTTTTTTTTCTTTATCAAACGTGTTCATTTTATTTAAAAAGAGCYCCAACCAAACAATAGTAATGTACTACTGATTCTATCTTCCACAGCTATGAAAAACAGATTATTCTTTCTTGTTTTGGAAAACTCTTTTATGTATTTAATGTGTGGTATCATGAGCTCTCTAAGTCTTCAGTTCTTTAAGGTAAGAGACRTCACATCTTTCACTCTTTTCTCATACATTCCATTTTCCATACTTGTCAATGTTTTCCTTGTTTTCATTAAAACTCTTAATTTGGGCTACATACCATGACCCTGAGGTATCCAAACTTGAATTCCAGCTGGAACTTAAATGTAGCTTGGTAAAAAAGATGAATATTTTACATGTCTTGTAGCCTTAATTCCTTTTAAACATCTCTATTTGATTGTTTTCTTCATAAAAAAAAAGGCATAGTGAAATTCTGGTTCCCAGTAATCTCAGAGGTTTTTTAGGAACTGTTGTAAAATAGTTCTTCTTACCTTGTATTTCTCCAACCCAAATGATTCTATGATTCTTTATGATTATTCTTACTTTATGAYGGCCCTTCTGAAATACCTGTTTCATTTTCTTCACAGTCAATTTCATTTGCAAATCAGTATCATTTTGAACTCTTGCCCTGTGCTTCAGTTTGACAATCACAGATGATCATGTGTGAGTCCCTTTTGGATTTTAAAGACCTGTATTTCATATGGCTCCTATTTGTTTCTTGCTAAAAATTCCTCATCTGTCTACGAAGTCATTGGAAGTCATGGAAGTCATTCCATACCACTGGAATGATTTTCAGTGTACCTTTTCCTTTTTTTGACTTGTGGTGTTTAGTGGAAAGATAAGATGTCAAAAGATTAATATACAAAGTGTTTTTAAACACAGCTCATTGAATAAAAGATGTAGTTCTGTTACTTTACAGAGAATAGTTTGTAAAATAAGTACATACATCAGAACCAAGCTGCAGAAAAATTAACAAATCATTGCAAACCCAAGATCTTTCCTTACTGCAGAGCTTCATATTGGTAAGTCATATGCCACCTTCAATTCAGAAAGCAGACAGATACTGAAATACCTTTAGCACACCTGTCCTTATCTTGTGTAATCCTGGTTTATTGTCTAAAGTGCAAAATGCCCTTTGTTGGTGAATAATGTTGACACATATTTTATAGATATGATAGTGGGAAGTTATTTAAGTTGTTAATGCAGTTGTCATTTTGGGTATAGCAGCATAAAAACAGGTCTACCTGTCAATTTATACATTTCTACTTGTTTTTGCCTTATTGTGAGTTTCATCCAGAGCTCACTGAAACCATGAGCTTCATCTAATAAAATTCCCTCTGCATTTCAGTGCTTTGTGGTGAYACTTCAACCCTAATGCCACTAGTCTGTGGCAATTTAGTCTTTATTCTATCCATCATATGCTATTTTTGGTATGTTGGAAGACACAAACATTGATGAAATTCCAAATGGCAGGAAGGAATTTCAACTGAGGTCAGGCTATTTGCTGTTTTAATTGGAAAGTAGTACTGGCAACAAAACACTAGGCTAAATAAAAATATGAAGGTCCARTAACTTCACTTGTAACAGAAATTTAAAGGAATGACTCAGCTAATCAAGGCTGGGATKAAGAACTATTTACATGAGAACCAGGGATCTTGTAATTTTGTCTGTCTGTCAAATGTCATAAATTATGTGGGCTCTGTACTCTAAACTTGATAGACATTGTCACCTAAACCTATTTAAATTTGTTTAGTTGACTTTTGTCATTTCAGTTCTAAAAGATACTGGAAAAAGAAGTGCTGATTTGTTTGTAAAGTATTTATAGCTTCAAAGGAGGTACAATACAGTGAATTTTCACACCAACCACTTGTCATAAGGTTTGCCAATCTTCCATTGCTTAATTAAGCCAAGMATTTTTAATAACTGTGAAACTGATTCAACATCAAACTATCCTAATCCAAACTCTGCACCTCTCAAGTCTATTCATCTCTACTTTAAAACTTAATTTAACTGAAATTCCTTGAGTTAACACTTGATAAAATTTTGATAAAGTATTTTAATTGTCATATAAAATGTATTTTCTCTTTAAATAAGGAATACTATTATTTTGTCACTAGTGACCCTAAAACTTGTAATGGAAACACTTTTAATAGAGAAATACAATCAGCTTATCTAAAATTTAAAAAAAAAAAAAAATCTGTGCCATGTTACTAATGTTAAGCTGTTAAGAAGATTTTCCTAATGTTAAAAACTGCTAACGGGAATTTACAACACATACCAAAATAGATGTGAGGTGTCTATGGATGTAATGTTCTGTACCACTATTATACAACTCCAACACTTTCGAAACACTTTCATTCACACATAGTGCTCACTATAAATTCATGTCAACTTGATCTTTCTTTGATGACACAGAACCATAAAGAAAGGTCATTATACATATTGCAGTCATAAAAATCACAAATAGTACTGTAAAAGGTCTCTTGTGRAACACGAGAAATAAAAGAGCTTGAGCCTGTGGTGTAATGTGGCTGAGGAGAGAGAATCTTTTGTTTCCAGTGGTGGTAAATCAGCTGGTATTCCCTAGGGATTTTAGTCTACACCCACAAACATCCTCTGCAAAAACAAGCTGATTTCCTTTCCAACCCCACATGCTGCTCACCCTGATGTCAGAGCAGTGAGGATATTATTGACCARGAAAATAGTAAAAGTAAATGCTATCAAGAGCTTCTTTTCTTACAGTTAAATTGATTTTATAGTTAAAATAAACCTGAGCTTCCTTTGGAAAACAYGCACAACTACTTTAAGCTTAACAATTCAGGAGTTTACAGCTAACCATCCTGTTCTCAGCTCAGTACTCCAACAAGTGAAAGTACTGTCCTTGTACAGAGATATGTTCCTCAAAATGTACCTTTTCCTTTTTCTTTTCCTTCTCTCTTGAGAAAAAGGTTTTAGAATTTAGTAACATTTCATTTCACTTTAATCATAACACTGTGGCTCAGACTACTTTCCTTATTTAATTGCTCTTAGGAATATATTCCTGAAAATTTTAATTAGCATGGGATAGAAATGTCAATTTTCTTGCATATTTCTAATAAGTTTAAAAACTGGGATGCAAAAGACTGGTGGAAACAAAAACTTTAAATATACCAGAGCATTCTAAAACCTACACACATTTTTCTGTTACCCTTCATTGCTAGAAATTTCAAGAAGGAAACCATGGAATTAGTTGATTTAAAATAGCAGTTAGAGAATCACAGAACCAGTCAGAAGAGATACTAACACAAAAAACACAGACTTTTTTTCCATCTTATGATTGTTTCACAGATGGTTTTAAACTTTAGAACTATTGATGACATATTTTTAATGCCTTTCATCTATTCTTTCCTCTATTTCACCTAAATATATGAACTGATTTACCTCTTTTTACAGGGTATAACCATGGCTTTCCAGGATGGAAGTAAAAACAGTTTTTACTATTTTTTTTTTTTTTAATCAAAGAAAAATTTTCATTACATGCAGATCTCGGAAGCTGACTTAATTCCGATTAAAGTAAAAAATAGCACGCTTTTATAACTGTACAGCAAACTCAGGGTACAAGAGCAATTTTATGGAGATATTTTCTTCTTTGTTGAGTCAGTCTGGACTCCTTCTAGTTAGTCCTATAAAAATTAGAATTTAAATTTTTTCTGAGTGTGTACTATACATTGAAATATTGTGGCTACASTATTGTGTTCATGATCAAAACATAATCCATTACATTTAACATTTTTTAATTTTTTTTTATTTTATTAAGAGTACTGTTTCATATATTATATGGGAAATTTAAGATTAAGAACACCCCATAAGAGTAAATACAGCTTATCTCTTACTATTTAGAGAGTCAAAATTTCATCTCTAAATAAAATGGAAACTGGCTTGGGTCCTATGTAAGAGTCCTGAAKAGGAATGTTGCTCTTTTTCACTCTKTGAAAAGGAAAATASCTGYGCTGAACCTACCATCAGTGCTTCCTGATGGCAATAACTGCGCTCACATTATTATCTAATTTACCCCTTGAACTGTCTTTGTAACATTTAAAAGCCACTGTTCTTTCCTGTAGAGATTCTGCTCTATGGTAGCAATTAAATAGAAAATTGTAGCACCTGTGCATGCTGTTTTATTTCACTTCACAGTTTCCAGATGGCATGGAGCAGGTGATACAGAAACAGAGAAAGTCTCATTTGCAGCAGGGAAACACTTGAGTATGTGTAGCAGTGCATTGCATCT